TCCCTTTTTTTTTTTTTTTTTTTTTTTCAGTTTATATCCTTGAGCTACAAATCCCCTGGAGGCTCTGGACTGTCGAGATGTGAAGAATTCACCAGTGTCTCTCTACGCTTAGTGCTAAAAGGGTATCAAGTGGAAAAACCTCCTACTACTCCCTGAAAGTAAAGGCCTCGTCTACCAGTAGTTCACACTTTATTGCTCCTGTCCTGTGCATATCCCATGAGCCACTGGGTGGCTAGAACTGGGCTAGAACCAAGGAGCTAAGAGAAAAAATCCCGGGCAAGGTTGGGGGAAATAGGTCACAGTGGCTGGGTGGTGAGGTCACAGAGAGGTTTGTCTGATCCAGACTACATAGGGGAGGGGCCTAGGAGGCAAAGCGGCCCCAGAGGTTCCCCAAGCCCAGGCAGGGGCACGGTGTGGGAAAGGCAGCAGGGACAAAGGCCAGGGAGCTGAGTACAAGGGGCCAAGGGGCCCGGAGATTTGAGGGCAGGAGCAGTGAGGGGGCAGTCAGGATGATGAGGAGAAGCCAGAAACGAAAGCTGCAAAAAGTCACCGGGCTCTGCAGACCGGAGGAGGGGCTCAGGGTGAGGGGGCAGGGGGTGAACGGCAGCAAGATGGAAGCCAGAGATCAGGGGAGGGTTTATGTGGAGAAGTTGGACAGGGAACAAGGCAGACAGGGAAGGGTAAACCCACGGACCTAGAGAGAAAGATGGGAGGATTTGACAGCCCAGAGCCCCCAAGGTAGTGGTTAATAAGTAGTTAACAGAAGGAAGAGGCATGACCCTCATGGAACCCCTGTGCACCCCCTTCTCCTTGGGTAGGTGAAGCGGAGCTGCCCTTCATGTGGCCCAGAGCCTGAGGGTGAAGAGAAGAAGGGGAGAGGAAACCCTATATCTATTCAGTTGTTCCCCCCAGAGCTGGTGAGTCCCGGGGCGGGGGCGGGGATAAAGGACTGGGGGCCGCTGAGGGGCCCCCATGACCCCTGCTTTCCCCCTCCTGCCCTCACAGGTGGAGCACATCATTTCATTCCTCCCAGTCAGAGATGTAGTCTCTCTAGGTCAGACCTGCCACTACCTCCACGAAGTGTGCGACTCTGAGGGCGTGTGGAGACGCATCTGTCACCGGCTCAGTCCTCGCCTTCGAGAGCAGGGTTCTGGGGTCCAGCCCTGGAAGAGAGCTGCGATTCTGAACTGTACACCTCCCCGGGACCCTCTAGTTCTCTCTGCTTCTGTCCTACCTTATTCTGGGATCCCTCCTACTCCATAAAATTGCCTGATGACCTCAGTATTCCCAGCCAACCTTCCAGGGCCCCTTTCTCTGGAAGAAACTTGTTAGACTTAAACATACTCCAACAAGGACTTACTCCAAGTCTCTAAAGCTGCTCTCGGACAGACATTGTCACCCAAAGCCCCCATTCCTAGCATCCCTGCCAAGTTGCCCACCATATTCAAGCTCTTCCATATCTTACCTTGTGACATCCTCCTCTCCCAAAACCTGGAGTTCTCCCTCCTCTAAACCAGGATTTTTCAACCTTGTCACTATTAAAACTTTGAGCCAAATAATTCTTTGCAAGGGGCAGGTGCTGTCCTTTGCATGGTAGGATGTTTAGCAACATCCCTGGCCTCTACCCACTAGACGCCAGTAGCACCTCCCCCAGTTCTGACAGCCAATGTCCCCCGAGGGACAAAAATCACCCCCAGGTTGAGAAATATGCTCTAGTCCCCTCCCTTCCCAGGGAGCCCCTATCCAATAACTTCGTCTCACACAACGGAGATGAAGGGAGATGCAGATAGCAGATCCAGAGCTAGGGGTGTGGAAGGGTTACTGGCCTTTCCCAGTCATTCCTTTTCACGCCTCTTTCTGCTTTTCTATGCATTCTTATATTTCCTTTGATGTCTCTGATGCAAGTTTGGACCAAAGAAGTGCTCACTTAGAAGCATGTGTGTGGCCCTGGGCTGAGGTGGGGCAGAGAACTTTAGTTCAGACATGGGGCATAATTTCAGATATCTTCCGAGCTTTCCACGTGCCCTTTGGAAGGAGTCTTTCCCCAGGCCTGGGGATGGAGAGGAGCTAAAAACCCATCCATTGAGAGATCTAGCTTTCCCAAGCTCTGTTTCATCTCCCTTGTGCCTCCCCGACCCCTTAAACCTCCCTCTCCTTCCCTTCTGCAGACACGAAGGGCCTGTATTTCCAGGCATTTGGGGGCCGCCGCCGCTGTCTCGGCAAGAGTGTAGCCCCTGTGCTGGCCCATGGCTACCGCCGCTTCTTGCCCACCAAGGACCACGTCTTCATTCTTGATTACACGGGGACCGTCTTCTTCCTGAAAAATGCCCTGGTCTCCTCCACCCTTGGCCAGATCCAGTGGAAGCGGGCCTGCTGCTATGTTGTGTTGTGTCACGGAGCCAAGGATGTGAGTACCAGGACCCCAGCAGCTGAGACCCCACCTCTTTTCCGGGAACCCAGGGCCCATACCAGTCCTGAGGTGGCATCCTTAGGACAGCCGCCCTCCGATACCAGGAACTGGAAACCAAGTTCGCCTTTCCCAGCCCTGGACCCAAGTATCTCATCTCCCACCCCAGGATCCAGCTGCCCCAGCCTCATCCCACTGCAAGGTTGGAGATCCCGGACACCTTTGTCTTTTCCTACAGTTTGCCTCGGACCCGAGAGGTGACACAATTTACCGTAAATACCTCTATGTGTTGGCCACTCGGGAGCAGCCGGGAGTGGTGGACACAGCCCACAGCCGGTCCTGCGACTGTGTCGAGGTCTACCTGCAGTCCAGCGGGCAGCGGGTCTTCAAGATCACCTTCCACCACTTCATGAGCTTCAAACAGATTGTGCTGGTTGGTCTGGAGGCCCAGCGCACCCTGCTGCTCCTCACAGGTGAGGCTTAGAGCAGTGGTTTGCAAGCTGGCTTTGGACCGCCAGGGAATTCCCCCCTTCTGAACTCCTTAATGCTGTAGGTAGGGCCCTGAATCCCCAGACATCATTCTTCCCAACACTCAAATTGCATTCTGCCAAATCCAACTGCTCGGTTTTCTCTGCACTCATCCTTCACACTGAAGAGCTCCCCTGGTTGATTTTCGGTGGTGAAGGCTGGAGGCTGGGGTACTTGAGGTCACTGCCCCCTTATTTCATCTCTACCCTTTTCCTTCCAGCCCCACTCTAGGGCAGCAAATGTCTCATCCTGTATGGCTTAGGGAGTCTCTTGGGAGGTTAATGTGGTTATTGGAGGGTCCCCTCCCCCCCACAGTTGTCTGCCTCCCCGCCCCCTCCCCCAGAGGAAGGAAAGATCTACTCTTTGGTCGTGAATGAAGCCCAGCTGGGCCAGCCGCGCTCCTATACAGGTCAGCTGGCCTTGAGGAAGGTGTCCCATTGCCTCCCTCACCTGCGTGTGGCCTGCATGGCTTCCAACCAGGGAAGCACTCTCTACATTACAGGTAAGAGCCACCTCCCTTCTTCTCCAGACCCCAGCCTTGGACAGACCCTGCAGATACAGAATCCTCCCTTATCCTCATTCCAGCTCTGTGGGGGACCTGTAGAGCATCCTAGACAAAAGAGGTGTTTAAGCTCCCAGACATCATAGCTGGTGCACTTCTAGTGGGCGTGAGACTCCCCCAGATCTTACATCTTTCATCCCAAGTAGGGCCTGATCCCTAGGAAATGGGTGCCCAAAGCTGCTGAGCTGAGGGCTCCCAACCCCCCAGACCAGGGGGGAGTGTATTTTGAGGTGCATACCCCAGGGGTGTATCGTGATCTCTTTGGGACCCTTGAAGCCTTTGACCCCACGTACCAGCAGATGCCGCTTCCGGTCTCACTGCCTGCCAAGGTAGGATCCTGGGATGGGGGGCTGGGGGCAGACCAGAGCGGGCGGGGCCTTAGGGGGCCCGCAAGGTACTGAAGGTCTGAAACATGAGCAGGAATCAAATGATTGATCAGGGAGGGACAAGGGACCCAGGGAGAGGGGTGACATAGAGAGCAAGACCAAAAGCGATCAGCTGGGTGTGGCAGGTTAGCAGTTGTGAGATTCTGGAGCTCAGAGTTCCCCTGGAGACGACTGAAGGCCCACTTCTCCTTTCTACCTTACCTCCTAGGTCCTATTCTGTGCTCTTGGCTACAATCACCTTGGCCTGGTGGATGAATTTGGCCGAATCTTTATGCAGGGAAATAACAGATATGGGCAGCTGGGAACCGGGGACAAAATGGACCGAGGGGAACCCACACAGGTGAGATTGCTTCCCAGCTACTCTCATCTTGCCCCCCTTCCTCTAATTCCCTGACCCCTGGATCTCTCCACATCTCTACTTTCCATAGAATCCACTTTCTACTCCCTAGGATGTTAAGCCAACCAGTTTGTAATGCCTGTGCTACTGTATCTCACCCGGGGTTGGCACCACAAGGTGCATTCTGTGTGGCTCGTGCTACAAGTGCAGTAGGAGTTTAGGGAGACCTGGGTGGGCTGAAGTAACTCCAAGAGGTGAGATGTAAGCAGGGCCTAGCGGGTTAGATAGGATTCGGGTGGGTACAGGGAAAGGCATCCTATGTAATGGGGATGGGGACGAAGCTTGCACATCCCTGGGACGGTGGAAGGCCCAGCCTGACCGGAGCAGAATGTGTTTTGGAACTCGGTAGCTACGAGGAGGTATAGGCCTTTGCAGGCCTACGGAAGTAACGATTTGGGAAAGAGCCGTTGCGGGTTCTGGAGCAGGAGAAGGCAGCCCCCTGGGTGATGGAGAATGGGTCACGCGGCCAGAGGGCACAGTGAGAGGCCCACCGGAGGCTGCTGAATGACACCAGCATTTGAGACAGGGGACTGGGGCTGCTACAGGGGCAGCGGGAACAGAGGAATGGAGACGTGAGGTGTAGTGAAAGAAAATGAACAGTCTCTGGAAACTGACTAGATATGAGGACAGTGGGGTAGGACAAAGGTGGCTCTGGCAATAGACATGGTAAACATGCCAGTGGGCGAGGAATGCTGGTTTGAGGAGAGAATGTGAATTTAGGCTTTTTCTTTGCAGTGAGAGTAAAACACTGGAGAACTTTTTCTTTGCAGTGAGAGTAAAACACTAGCTGGATTCCAAGTTGGAACAAGGTTGAAATGACAAAAGTAGAGGCAGAGGGGCAAAGCTGGGTGGTTGCCATGATTGTGGGTGGAGGGACTGAAAGAGACACACCCTCAAATGCCACATCTCACAGGCCACAGGCACAGAAAGTTTCACCCAGGAGGGGGTGGTGACAGTGATAGTGAAGGAATATGCTCCCTGACATGGAAGGATGGCTATGCCATATTTTTCAGTGAAAAAAAAAAAAAAATTCGTGAAATGGTTTACACAGCACAATCCCATTTTGGTTTAAAAATATACAACTTGCGTGTATATATTTGCTGAGGCAACAGTGAGGAAGAATATCCAACAAGATGTTAATAGTGGGTGGTGGGGCTTCCAGTGATTTTTAAATGAATTTTTGCTTGCCAGTATTTTATAATTTTCCTGTAATGGCCGTGAAATTACTTATCTATGTCTTAAAAGTAAAGTGCTCACGGTCTCAGGGGCAAGTGTGCAGGAGAGGCCCTGGGATTTGGCTGCTGGGAGGTCCAGTGCCTTTGGAGAGAAGTCGTAGCGTAGTGGGGAGAGAAGCCAGATCACAGAGGGTTCAGGCAAGACTGGCTGTGGTGAGACCAAGAATGTGGTCCACTTCAGACTGATAACGTAGCCAGTCCTACTGCCTAAAAGACAGAGGTAGGAAGCAGCAGAAATCAGGTGGAAATTTTTTCCAAAAGAGTGGCCATTTTGAAAGATAAAGATATGATGGACTGAAAATGCTAGAGATGGAAGGAAGGACGCAGTGGGAGGCAGGTCCTTCCAGGGGCCTAACCTGGAACTACACAGGGACAGGGAGGAAGGCTCTTCCTCCCCTGAGGCTGGAAGGCAGAATGAGAGACTGGACCTGGGGGACGAGACCAGGGAGCAGATAGCAGGCCCTGGACTCAGGCAAGAGGCCTGTTTTCCAGGGAGCCGAGAGGAGGAACCAACAGCCATGCTAGCGCCCCTGTGGTCAGACTGGGGCTGCAGGAGAACCAAGGAGGAGTGATAGCTGCCAGTCTGCAGTCGGCAGGGCGGACCTCCTTGGGGAGGGGGAGGGTACTCTGGGGCTCACCTCCTCCCTCCGCCTAGCTTCCCTAGGGGAAGCTGTCACCCTTCTCCAACCCGGCCCCTCCCCACGGTGCCTTGGTGTTCCCCACTTAGGGACCCTGCCCTGTGTTCTCAGGTACATTATCTGCAGCGCCCCGTCGCCCTGTGGTGTGGCCTCAACCACTCCCTGGTGCTGAGCCAGCGCTCAGACTTCAGCAAGGAGCTGCTGGGCTGTGGATGTGGGGCCAGAGGCCGCCTGCCAGGCTGGCCTAGGGGAAGTGCCTCCTTCGTTAAGCTCCACATCAAGGTCAGAGCAGGGTCCAGGGAGCGGGCAACCAGGGAGGGCCAGAGCAGTAGAGCCCACAGGACTGTAGCTGGGGCTCCCACAGGGACCCAGGGACCCCATCTTCCAGCACCACCCACTGCCCTTTCCTGCCATGTACCATGGCTCCTGGCTCTCTCCCTGAGCTGCCCCTGCTGGCCCACTCCGACCTCACACAACCTTGGGGCTCAGCCAGCCAGCTCACTTGCTGGCTCAGGGCTGGTCTGAGCAGGACAAACACAACAGCTGGGGCTTCCTGGGAACCCCTTCCTGGGGCCCCACTCAGCCACTCCCCCTCTGTCTCTCCTCCAAGGTCCCTTTGTATGCCAGCTCCCTCTGTCCTACCAGAGAGTGCCTCTACATGCTGTCCGGCCATGACATCGAGCACCATCCCACCTACCGGGACCTACCAGCCAGCAGGGTGGCGGGGACCCCCGAGCCCAGCCTGGGGGCTGAAGCAGCCCAGGACCCTGAGGGGGTGGCGGCCCAGGCCTGTGAGCTGTACCTCAGGCAGATCCACAGTTGCCCCACATTGCAGGAACGCATGGAAAAGACGAAGGAGGTCGTGGGCTGGATGCCCTTGATGGCTGCACAGGAGGATTTCTTCTGGGAGGCCCTGGACATGCTGCAGAGGGCTTTTGGAGGGGTTGGCCAAGGCCCCCCAACCCCTGACAGCTGACCCCCCTCTCCTGGTCTCACCCCTGGTGGGAGGGTCTGGCCCTGGGCCAGGGGCTAAGGAGAGGTGGAATGACAGCAATGAATGCTGCGTGTGGGGAGGGGGATGCAGTGGGCTAGGGCCTGCTAGACATGTCAGGGTGGGACTGTTTTGTAAAATGTTCAGGGAGCTGCCCAGGAGGGGCCCCCAACCTGACATGGACAAAAGATTTGATGGACAAATAGAATAAAAGGCTGATTGAGGCCCGGTTTGTAACCCTGGGGCCTGGGAGGAACGTGGGGCGGGGTGCGGGGGGAGGGGTGGGCAGGCAGAGTGGACGCAGCTCAGGCTGTCAGTTGCTGCAGAGCTGACAGCACCTGGATCCTTCAGCTTCCTTTTCCCTCCAACGCCAAGACCTGATGCCTACTTGGTTCCGTCACTTGGATCCTCCGTCCATTAGACTGAGAAAGGCGCTTCCTCCAGCTTCAGGATGCTTCCTACCCATTTCCCTTCATCCCTGTGAAGCCAACCGCCGCCCCCCCCCGCCCCCCCCCTCCTGTTTCCCTTCCAGATCTGATCTCACATGTTGTCCTTTCCCTTGCTTTCTACTCCATTCTCCTCTTCCTCAATAAGGAAGACACTCCCTTTACCCACATAGCATGCCTCCCTGCCCCCACCCATACCTCCAAATATTTGGGAGAGAAGATGGGTGAGCAGAATTCTTCCTCCGTGGCCTAGTCTGGCCCGGGTATGGAAAGGACGGTAGACATTTGAAGTGGAAAATAAACTGGAGCAGAGGGTGGTCAGGAAGTGGGTAAGTGATTAGAGGTTGGGAGTCCAGGGAAGGACTTCCTCTGGGTGCTGAGGAAGCAGGAAT